GTCTACCCGACCGGAAAAGTACCACGCTCTCAAAAAATACCAGGATTAAATAGCAGCTTATATTTTTATAGAATAAGAGGGACAAATGTGTGCTCGACACAGTCCACCTGATCGTAAGTGACCATAGACATCCACATTTATCCTCGATTAAAAATCAAATGTGTTGTCAACCCTGAGAACTAAGATGAAATGCCTCGTTTCCAGGAAAAAAGCGTCTCCGTTTCTCTACGTAACATATCAGCATTGAGCTGCTATATTACGCTGGTATTCTGTGAGAGCGTGTTCCTAACCCGGTCGAGCCGACTCATTCGTGATCGTTGTTGTGGCTCGTAAAGTGAGTGTTGAGAACCGCAGAGCCATTTTATTGGCAACGAGGTATTTTTTATTAGGCGTCAGAAGTGACAATTGGATAAAGGAGACTATGGGCCACATAATCCATTTAGTATCAGGTGGACGGCAGATAGAATGCCTTATTACACTCTTCTCTACACTCACCATACGAAACACAGCATTAAGCTGACATTTAACGCTGGTATTCTGTGAGAGCGTGGTCCTTCCCCTATTATTGCTGCAGTGTGACTTTACCATGCTAAACTAAACTACCCTCATGTTACCTTATACTATGGTTGGAACTGTTTTTTTCATATTTCTGCCGCCAAGAAAGCCTGTAGATTTAAATTTAGAGAAGCATGACATCTTGGTTAGTAGGATTGTTAGTATGGTGGACAGCAACGCTGTGACGATAACGCGGTATTATGATTGCTGATGTTTGGCGGTATCTCACCCCCGTGCCTCGGACTGCACGTAAAGCCGTTGGTCTTGCGCCTAATCTCTCTGTGGTCGTGTCGGTTTACTGTCCCATCGGATTATGAGAGTGAGGGAATAGAGAGTGCACCTGCACGCGCACGCACTCGGGCACTATACTCCGGTTTTGTCTCTGTTGAGACAAAACAGGAGTATAGAGTATAGAAATTCGGTCTGGAGGACGTTATTATTACTACGATTGAAAGTTCGTTTAACCCTTCTGCGTATACACGTCATAATCTTTGACTTAAGTACAGAAGTGAGCGGGAATTGCGCAATGGATTGTATACGTATATAATTTTATCTAGTATAGATTCATTAAATGTTATTGATTCTTATATAATCCACCCTGCGGCGTTTATCGGTTATGCTATGGATATTAACTTTTATTGTTGTAGGTTTCTTTCCATGAGGTTATTTGAAACAATGTTATTTTTTAATCGACTTTATTTACTGCTAGAATGTTGTACTAAAAAAAATGTTGTTACTTTTTAAATAGATCTTACATTCTAATATGATTGTAGCGTGAATATGAAGAGCCGTGGTAGCTCAAATGCTTAGCACTCGCTGTAAAATTCACAGTACGCGAGCAATTCTGGTTCGATCCCCGCCGGCATATTAATTACAAATTAAGTGCTGATTTACCACGCGCTCGACGGTGAAGGAAAACATCGTAAGGAAACCTGCATATCTGAGAAATAAGTACAAAATTTTCGAAAACACGTGAAGTTCGCCAACACGCATTGGGGCAGCGCGGCGGACACTTCCATGCCCTAAAACCCTCACAGAAATGAGAGGCAGCCTGTACCCAATATTGGGACATTTTGATTCTTAATCGAGAATAAAAGTAGATGTCTAAGGACCACAGCATCCACTTACCAAAACGAAACACAATAACTGTTATTTCAGGCTGGGTATTGTGCGAGCGTGTTCCTTTACTAGTCGAGCCAACCCATTCTGGCTGCAGCTATAAGACTGGCCCCACCACGTTCAAAATTATTTCACTTTAAATGAATGTTACATTGAATTCGATATCTCTGAGTATATTCATTTGTACGCCTTTCGTAACTCTTGCAATTCTGTGAAACTTGACAATTTGTTAACAAACGTTTCTTCATACAAAGCCTTCAGTGTATGTCGACAAATAGAAGGGTAACATACATAATACATGTTTATTGATTTATCTATTGTGTTTGTGTGACAGCCACTTGGCACAATAACATAAATTCGAAGCGACATTCTACAATTGTTCCACTGAAGTACCTACGTACTAACTCACTATACAAACCCTAGAAATAATTGATGCCTATTGCAATTTTGTACTAGGGAAAGCTAATTAATGTATAATATATAAAATCTGTATATATTTTTTAATGTCTTTCTTTGTACTTTTATTTTATTTATTTAGCTTTGTGGTAACAAACAGATGTGTTACAATTATTAAGTAGATTATCTAAACATAAAATCTACTTAACTAATTATATATCTCTTTATTTAATTATATAATATCATTCTATAGTAGCTGCTACTTTAATGTGTCATAGGAACTTGGGAATATGACGAACAAATCTTTCGGTATAGGTATTTAATTTATTCGTAAAGAAATATTCACATTTGCAATGGAAGCATATTCTTTAATAAAACTTCTATAAACACACAAACGTAAACCTTGCAAGTCTCCTTGGGATAGGTTTTTCTTGCAAAACTGAAGTGACTTCAATTATTATTACTGAAGCCCTTGTAAACAGAAATTATTCAAGATTTTCTTCAAGCTCGGAATAGGTACGTTAATGGTAGTTTCAGTTATGAAATATAATATATACATATGTGTATATGTGTACACTTACCATCAGGTGAGACATCTACTCGTTCGCCTCCTCTCCTATAAAATAATAATAATAATAAAATTGCGTAGGGAAGTGACGACCCGACCGCCCGCTGACGTAACAGTTAAGTGACAAAACTGCTACGTCAGCGCAGTCAGTCAGCGCCTTGCCAAGATGTATGTGCGCCGTGCCTCGGCAGAATTGAGGGTGCAAAGGTCCGTCTGTGCTTATGGCCGCACCATGAAACGGTGCCGGGCCTGGGCGTCTCCCGTTAATTGACGCCCATTTAATGGATGATGGACAATAAAAGAGTACGCAAAGGGCCGCTGCCTGGAGGTGGCCAGGGCGCGTCTGGAGCTGGCGCTGGACGCGACAGCATGCAGGTCGCCAGCCAAGCACGGGGGGCTTCAAGACCACCTAGTAGCCGCCCGCATCCATCATCCCCACCAGAGGGCTTGGTGTCGGCTGGGTCTTCTCGGACTCAGCAAGTGGCACCCGCTGGTGGTGGAACACGTCGCATGCGTTGGACAAAAATGATGAACGCAAACGCATTGCGAGCGTATTTTAGGGCAAAAGGGGAAGAAACTGGAATGTTAGCGTATCGGGCTCGGATGCATCGCTTTTTCGCGGAGCTGGAGCCATCTGTTCATGTATCAGAGCAAAACCTGGCAGACCGAGTTAGGTAAATCCTGCGCTCCAACATATTTGGTGACGCCGAACTCGAACGACTACGACGTGAGGCTGTTCCCTCATCGGATGAATAGAATAGAATAGAATAGAATATTTTTTATTCAATATACATTACTTACGGGACTTTTTTTTAAATAAATTTTACAATATAAATGATTACGAACTATTTACAAAATTTATTTTAGAAACTGCTTGGAAGCGATCACCTCATTCCCAGGGGTTATTATCAACCATGTATTCATTTATACTATAATAACCCTTTTTATACAGTTTCAGCTTAATAAAACATTTAAACTTGGTAATAGAGAGAACCTGTACACTTTCCGGGACCTTATTGTAATAGCGTATACATTGCCCCAAGAATGAATTACTGACTCTGTGGAGTCGAGAAACTGGTATCACTAGCTTGTGTTTGTTCCTAGTGTTTACAGAATGTATATCACTTCTTTTACTAAAACTATCTTTGTTTTTGTGAACATACATTAAATTTTCGTAAATATACTGAGAGGCCAAAGTTAATATATTAATTTCTTTAAATTTATCTCTAAGAGACTCTCTCGGTTTTAGATTGTAAATAGCTCTAATGGCCCTCTTCTGTAAAACAAAAATAGTTTCTGAATCAGCCGCATTTCCCCATATCAAAATCCCATAAGACATTATGCTATGAAAATAACTAAAATAAACTAATCTAGCTGTCTCGACACTAGTGAGACCTCTAATCTTTTTTACAGCATAGGCTGCAGAACTTAGTCTGCTTGCTAATTTGGATATATGGGGGCCCCACTGGAGCTTTGCGTCAAGAGTGATGCCAAGAAAAACAGTGGATACAACAGGGCTCAATTCCTCCCCATTTAAAAACACATTGGTATGATGAAAATGCTACAGCTGGAAATGAGACGCCACGAATTGCAGAGCAATCTGCACACGTGGATGCCGACGCGGATTTTCCAGCTGTAGTCGATTCAGACGATGCTGGAATGGTCACCCAAGAACTAGAGCAGGTGAGGAGTAAATTTGAGGAGGCGATTGTGGAAACGCACAGTACGCCACTCGAAACTCGACCGCGGCTCCACAGGATGCATCATCCGAGATCGTCAGTAATGAGACTGTACTTGCCGCGGAAACATGGTGGGCGCGGAAACAAGATTATAACGCGGTAGAGTCCGGGGAAGGAACACGCTCTCAAAGAATATCAGCATGTATTGCCCAAATACTCAAACGCTATTCTATTTTAAGATCTCGTGGTTTCATTATCTTTTTAAGTCAATGTGACAGTAATACCACAAGACTTAACTACATGTTAAAATTTAGTAGCGTTTGAGTATATATGTTTTAGTATATATACACACACACATTTAAAGAAAGGGAAAACTTTATAAAATCGGCCGTGCACTTATTTTAATTTTGTTAATCTGTGTATATGGCTCTCACGGTACAGGTCTGTGCGCCTTGTGTGAGAACCATTGCTAAATTTCTTGTTAAGTTGCAAACTGTCAATTAAATTATTTTAACTTTTCATTTTTATGAAATATTTTCGCATAAATAGATGGTAACAATTTATTACACTGCTCCATTGTATTTAAATTTTCAATTATACATATAGCAGGTACTTAGGAAATACAATTCGTATACACGCATATTAAATTGATTTACATATTTGTTTCAGATGGATGAACTAAAATGTATTATTATCCTGTAAGGAGTAAGATGAAGGATACTGTTATAATTGCCATATATTTGTTAAGTTTATCTACTTCATTACTAGCTCATCCTAGAGCATTCGACGTACCATTCAAACGAAGTGACAGAAATTTGGACGATGGTTTTGATAACAACATTATCGATTTTGATGATGAATATTCATTGAAATATGACAAGAAGTATAAGACGGTGCCTTGGCATTCTAGTGAATCTTATAATAAAGATTCCTATAAATACACAATTGTGAAAGATGATGCCGTAGATGCAAGTAGAAAACTAGATAAAAACAAAACAGACAAAGTTAACAACAATACCAAAACAAACACATCTGCAGTGAAAGCCGAAAACGAATCTACAGAATTTCCCGAATTTAGTGTAATACCGTTAGAATTAGTTAGTACGACTGAAAATACTTTAGTAAGTGTAGTTGAAAGTACTACTGAAACTGATTTGACAGTCATTCCATTGTCAACAACACATAAAACATACCCTGAATTTGAAACTAATCCAACAATTACAATACCGGTCTCAACGCAAATATCTGAAGATTATATTCCAACTACAGAAAATGTTGAAGTTGCAACCAAAGTTAATGTAAGTGAAAATATTGACTTTATCTCTAAATCAAACCTTGATGTTAAGAGAACAACTCCATTAAGTATTGAAAATACAACAATATCAGATACAATAGCCGCTGAAACTATTCGAGGTAATAATATAACATTTGAAGTAGATAACTTTTTTAACGACAGTATATCTACAGAAATAATTGAAAGTTCTACAAAATTAAACAATGATTCAAATGAAACAAGTTCAAGTACGACGATAGAGTCTATTAACATATTTGACGAAAGTACGGAGTCTAACGAGGAAGATGTTCCGGTTTTTACAGAATTAGATGCTGAAGAAGCAGATGAAAAGGAAGTACCGGAAGATTATTATGATTCTAAGGATATTTTGCCTACTCCTGCTCCAAAAACGGATGCTCTGTCAGTAATATTTGGATTTGCAGGTAGTTTTGTTGAGAGTATGGTCGAAAGTGTGGCGGAAAGAGTTGTGCCGAATTGGATTTATGATATCTATAAAAGAATGCAAAAACAGAATGAAGCGTTGGAATCAGAAAAGCTAAGAAGTAGAGAGGAAAATGGAGGTTTAGGTAAGCTTTAGTTAGTAATACCATGAATATTATACGTGGTAGAGCTATATTTGTAGCACAAATGGCACGGCTCGACCGGGGAAGTGTTACACTCTCACAGAAAACCGGCGTTAAATAGCAGCTTAACGCTGCTGTGTGCTTAACGGTGGGTGTATCTTATGGTGAGTTTAAGGGGAGACCTCTTTTACTGGAAACGAGGCATTACATCTTAGTTCTAACAGGTGGCAACGCATCTGCATTTTTATTCGTAGTCGAGGGTAGATGTATTTGTGTCTATGGGCCACAGCCACTACTTACTATCAAGTGAACTGTGTGCTCGTTTGTCACATAAATTACACATTAACCTATATAAAAAAAATGTTACAACCTTACAACAGAAACAAAGCAGTACTTGCACGACTTTTATAACATCTGGGAATGTCTGACAATCAAATAGTGAATTATAAAGTTCTGAGTAGTAATCAAAAACTTTTTAATCCATATTTAATATTCTGCAAAAGAAATGATTGAGAAAAACAACATCACAAAAAGGAGTCCTAGCTGTTTATCACGGTTATGTCTTCATCGTCTGCCTTTGTGGGGGAATTCTGTTGATGTGATTAGAGCGTTTAAATTACAAAAGAAACGTGTGCGAGCGGTATGTGGTGCGTGGTTTCTTGATAGCGTATTGTCTTTGCCATGCATGTATATTCGACAAATATGTATTTCTGTAAAGCGGCACCCGAATTACTTTAAAACGCGATGAATTTCCCGAAAGGCAAACAAGACATAAAAATAGATTATTTTATCCTAAACGCAGCTCTAGATTTAATGCAAACAGTGCTCCTATGATGGCTATAAATTACCAAATAACTTAAAAGACATACCTTTGAATAAATTTAAAATTGAGATTAATAAATGGCTTTTTGACAAGTGTTATTATAGTGTTAAGGAATATTTTAATTGACTACAATATTATTTAATGTATTATGTAATTTATTCAAGCTTTTGACATTATGTAAAATTTAATTTGATTATTTTAAGATATATTTGCACACCGGTACAACTCCCGGTAGAATATTATTCAGACTTACTCTAATACTAAATACCTGTATTATCTCTACATTTTATTCTGCAAGTAAAGATTTTGAATCGACTTGACTTGCATTATGATATTAAAATGTAATCATATTTAAAATGTTATTTTCATTGCAGGTCAGTTTGGCCGTGGCATTCTGAAGTCCATATCTACAGGTATTAGCAAACCTCTGAGCCAACTAATGGCTGGAGTTAAAGATATTGGATCTTTGGATAGCGATCGAGGATTCGTCAGTAGTTTAGCGTCAGGTGTCACCAGTGTTGCGAACGTCGCAAATTCTGTTGTGGACGCCTTCAAAGACAGAGTACAAGCTATTTATCCTGGTAATTTTGTTTCTCAAATCGAATTGTAGAATACCTCTTAGATATTCGATGAGAAAATCCCATTAAGTTTTCCGTTAATTTTATATGAATTAAATTAATGTTTTGTTTTTGTAAGACCTGATACGTTTTACTTATTTATTTACCGCAAATTTTCCACACCTGAATAGGAATATTTATAATCGCAGATGAATTTGAGTTTAATTCACCGTCAGCAATAGTCGGTTGATTAATTAGAATATTATTTATGAAAAAGGATCCATCCATTACTGCCTATAAAATTCCATCGCTATACAAAAGCTTCCCCTATAGATTGCCTTATAGAGGTAATTTTTCCATTATTGCCATGTTTGGCAGGCTGGTGGGCAACCGCAGTTTTTATAATTTTTAGTAGTTGTCAAGAAGATGCTGCAGCCCATTTGCTGCGTCACTTTCCTTCTGTTTCTCCTTCCGAAACACATCGGGTATAGAGGGATGACTGATATGGGGATGGATATTCTTACTCCTTTAGTATTTTTCATTAAAAAATCGAATAAGATCGCGTCTTACGAGAAGTCCATGAGTTGCGATAAGGAGAAACAGAATAGAATATAATATTTATTCAATATAGATTTAGAAGAATACTTATTGAGAGTCATTTACGCTTTAACACTGGTTTAGAAAAAACCTCTGTCATGGAAAGAACCAGCAAGAAATCTAGTGCGACTTTTTTAAACAATAATTTGCAATATATAATGTTGTACAATGAAATATAAAACTATTTAGAAATAGTATGGTAGCGATCACCTCATTTCCAGGGTAACCCCAGAATAACATGGAATCAATCATATGTATGTGCAACGATTATTAAATAATTTTTAATTTGAAATTTAAGCCATGTTAAGGTATTTCTGTTTTCTATTTCGAAGAGAAATAACATGAGGCCTAAATGTGATCCCTTAGGGACCGTGTGGTGTGGAGATGGTCACGCGGCAGCCGCGCGCTCTGGAGAGCTCGGCCTGTTCTTTTTCACCGACACTTGCTGCCGACAGCACGACGCCTGCAAGATCTACATCAGAGCAGGAGAGACGAAGTATGGTCTCACGAACACCGGTCTCTTTACAAGGTAATACTAAATTTAATTAATTAATTAATTCATTATAGCCTATCTACTCTATTATTCGACCGCTTCGTTGGTCTAGTGATCGTAAATGCGATGTCTGATCATTTGATTGGTCCCGGGTTTGAATCCTGGGTAGGACCAAAATCTGGGATTTTCTGTCAGCAGTAGTCCGGAGTCGGGAAGTTGTCGGTGTTTCGCCCCGTGCCTCGGAAACACGTAAAGCCGTTGATTCTACGATCTGATCTCTCTCTGGTTGTGTCGGATTTCTGTACCTAACGGATTTTAAGAGTGACGGTATAGAGAGTGCACCTGTGCTTGCGCACACACTCGTGCAATCCTGCCATGCCCAGTAGCTAGTCTCCGTTGAGACTGGCCGACGTGAATGAAATTCGGTCTGGAGAACATTACATTCTATCACTGCTAAATACAGGTCTTCCTGTTATTTGCCTCATAAGGAGGATATATTTACCATAGTTGCCGCGCTTAGTTTTATCTTAGTTTAATGCAATAAATATCAATAGCTCGAATGTCATCCAAATAGCTACGTAAATAACTTCATCGCCTATTTTCCCTTAAGTGTAATATTCCCCCATATGAAACCACCCCTGAAGTCAACTATTTAAATAAATAAATCTATACAAATAAATAAAATTGAAGTGTCTGTTTGTAATGTTAAAATAACAGCTTTTTACTAAAATCTCCGAAACGGCTGGACCGATTTCGACGGGACTTTTACTGACAGATAACTGATCTTATAAGGAGTAACTTAGGCTATTTATATTTTAGAAAAAGAATTAGGGTTCCGCGCAACATAGTTAAAACCTTAAAATACACGTATACAAGTCGCGGGGTACAGCTAGTAAATAAAAAATAAATAAATAATGCGTTTATTTCGGTAATCATGTTAACAACATATTACTGAGACTTTCCAGTGAGTAAACAGAGGATACTCGTGTTTAATTAAGTTAATAAATATAAAACATTTCAATCGGCTCACAATTGACGAAGACATCGCAGACACAGACAAAAAAAAACTAATTGAGAACCTCTTCGTTCCTTTGAAACTGGCTAAAATGACATTCATTTGAATTTTTACTCGCATTCCATAGTAGTAGCCAGTGTACGAAATAAAAAAAACAGACTGAGAATCGTTTTATTATTACAACATCGAAAAATGTATTACGCTCTATTAGTTTTAAATGTGACATATCATGCGAAAGGTGCTGGTACTACAGATATGCAGGAAAAAATATCATGTTGCCGTTGAGGCAGGTAAAATTCAGTGTACATACACTCATGATTTGCCATATTAAACTATTTAACCAAATATGATGGTGTTCTTGCTCACCTCTTGTTTCAGTTTCCCTCTGTTACCTCTAATGTCACCGTTGGGATGATGATATAGAGTATTAAAATTATTCGACCATAAGATCGAATTCCGGCCGAATGCGACATACAGTACTTGACATACGGTAAAATTAAAAATTTTGTACAATCGACTTCAATATAAATAAAATGAGAACATCATCGATGCAGTCGAAGTCAATTAAATATACATTATTAAGTATAACTCAAATACTACAGGTCAGATTTTGATAAAATTTAAATGGAACTACACGAGAAGCACTAGCTTTCAAATAAAAAAAAAGAATCATCAAAATCGGTTCACCTAGAAAAAGTTCTGAGGTAAAAGTCAAATACTACAGGTCAGATTTTGATAAAATTTAAATGGAACTACACGAGAAGCACTAGCTTTCAAATAAAAAAAAAGAATCATCAAAATCGGTTCACCAGGAAAAAGTTCTGAGGTAAAAGTCTAATCGAGAACCTCCTCCTTTTTTTGAAGTCGGTTAAAATAGTAATTAAAAATGCTATCATGAAGCTAGCAGAGTGCACTTATCATCATTATCATCGGTCTATAGATATGACACAAAAGCGGCCCCATGCCACATGCATCCATCGACTTTCTGCATGTCATACCAGGCCGTAACTATATCTAGTGGAGACTTGTATATCTACAATGCTAGCTTGAACTTTATATTATATACTTTATATATATTTATTTTATCTATATATTTTTTTTCTTTATAGGTCCTAAAGGCATAATCCTATTGTAGAATGAAATATGTATAATTGCAGATTATATACAAAATCCCTCGGTTGTGTTTTAACAATTTCTCAGGAACACGTCGTCGATTCTCAGATTGGAAGCGACAATATTTAGTCCAGTTCAACCCCAAGAAGAGACAAGTATCCGCGATTACTGCTAAAAAGAACACCTTTGTCGTATCTTGGACCTTTGTCTATTTTAGAATGTATCCTTGGAGTACACTGACCGCCTTCAGTTGTTAGGAATTGAATTTTCTCCGAACCTAAACTATGGGCGGTTTATTGAGTCCAGAGCTAAAGCAGCCGCAAGGAAACTTGCAAGGTTGCGGCGGTACTTCACGCCGGGGCAGCTTCTTACCTTATATAAAGCGCAAGTCCGGAAGTGCATGGAGTACTGCTGTCACATATGTCACCTGCCATAATGCCACCTGGCAGCATTGGATTCAGTGGAGAGACGTGCTAAGAGGCTCATTGGTGACCGTGATTTGGTTGAAACCAATCTTGTCAGCCTCGAGCACAGGCGCAGAGTAGCCAGTCTCTCGGTATTCTATAGGATGCATTTCGGTGAGTGTGCGAAGGAATTACACGCCTTAATTTCCACCATCGGACAACCAGACGGTCGGCTGGTCTTCATCCCTTTGTTGTCGATATTCCACGCATTAGAACCAAACGGTTTGCTTCGTCTTTTGTAATGCGTACAGCAAAGGAGTGGAATAATTTGCCGGCGTCTCTCTTTCCGTCCGAATACGATCTAGGCGTCTTCAAGGCAAGAGTGAATAGGCTTTTGTTACGATAAGACAGTGCGATTTACCATATAAGGCTGCATCACCACTTACCACCAGGTGGGATTGTGGTCAAGCACTGGCTTATAAGAAGTAAAAAAAATACTCCTCTATTTCAAGGCACTCCCCTCGTTGCCTCAACTAGCATCGGAATCCTCCGTTTCGATATATTGAATCGTTCAGTTCCATGGTCGCCTGGAAGGGAAGGACAAGTTGGCCTTTCTAATCGGCTTGACTCAATGGCGCTGTGAAGAGATGTTGCATCCCTTCCCATATTTTATCGCATCTACTACGGGGAGTGCTCAGAGGAATTGTTGGGATCAACTTCAGCCGCTAAATGTCATCATCTCACGTCTTAGCAAATTTTGCGATTTACCAGAAGTTGTCTTCTTCGCACAACTTCCTATTGGTATCGGCTACCACTAGCGATTTTCCCGGACCGATACGACTTAGTTACTTCAAGAAAAAAGCCGACTTTTTTTAAATAGGCCGGTAACGCGCTTGGAATTCCCCTGGTGTTGCAGTTGTTCATTGGCGGCGGTAGTCACTTACCGTTAGGTGAGGCGCATGCTCGATTATCCCCTCTTATATAGATTTCTTTCTGCTAACATGAATCACACTTAGTAATTTTTCGCTGTCAGATTTACAATAGGTAACAAATATTTTAACAATAAACCACATCACCAACTGAAGACATGTGAGACATGAACAAATTAACTTGACCCCGTTATCTGGAAGCGTACATCTCCTCCAGTCACGATTCCGAGGCGATGTGTCAAGGTTGTCTGCAGATAAAACGGGTCCATTAGGAAACAAATATCTTGCAATATAATTCTTAGATAAATCGTTGTTCTAATATTGCACCTGCTATTTTGACCAAAGCAGCAACCAATATGAATACCAGCGTAAATTAGCAACATAATTTACTGCTGTGTTTCGTATGATGAGTGTAGACAACCGGAGACCCTTTTTATTGGAAACGAGGCATTCCATCTTAGTCCTCAGGAGTGACAGAGCATCTGCATTTTGATTATTTATCAAGAATAAATGAAGATGTCTATAGGCCACAGCATCCACTTACCATCACGTGGGCTGTGTACTAGTTTGTCACCCTTATATTATAAAAATAAAGCAATTGGCATGTCGGAAGCTATAAACAAATACATATACGCGCTAACAGAAGCAGTCACATGTCTCTTTGTATCCTCCAGCATATATTTCGGAAAGTTTACGCGGGAATTTATATACAATAATACTCCCCTCCTCTTTCATCAGTCAGACCATCAGAAGCATGACTGGTCTCCATTTAGAAAAAAACATGACGAGAAAATACTAGTGTGGTGGTACACACTAGTATTACAGTTTACATACATACACAAGGACAAACATCCAGACCTGGAACAGGCCTCTGCCACTCTTGTTACATACGAGAAATAATTACCTACAATCGCGAGCTGCCCCAGGGGTAGATCGCAGTCGGGGCTAGCGCGTTCTAGGCGATTGAATGTTAAAGTTTTTTAACGCTGTTTACGTAAATAGTTTTTTTTTAAATACCTGTTGAAATACTTTTATTTTGAAATATTTTTTAACGTGGTAGAGCCATGCTGCAGCTATATTAGTAGTATAGTTGTAGCACGAATGGGTCGGCTCGACCGGGGAAGGACCACGCTCTCACAGAATACCAGCGTCAAATAGAAGCTTAACGCTGCTGTGTTTCGTATGGTGAGTGTAGAGAACCGGAGACCCTTTTTACTGGTAAAGAGGCATTCCGTCTAAGTCACGGATGACAACGCATCTGCATTTTGATTATTTATTGAGGTTAGATGTAGATATCTATGGGTCACAGCAACAACTTCCCATCTGGTGGATTGTGTGCTTGTTTGTCACCCTATCCTATAAAAGAAACTGTTACACAAATAGCTTAATAATAATAATAATAATAATAATTCTTTATTTCAGATATCAAAGATCCATAAGTTGTTAGTATGACTTATATTAGGTTAGTAATTGAGAACATTAAATAAATTTAATTAAATTAAATCAAAACTAAAATCAAATCTATACCCAAAATTAAATTACAATAAAATCAAAAATAAAAATAAAATAATAATCAAAT